GACTGAAGAAGTCTCTTGGAGGAGAGACGAAACGTTTCATTAGAGAAGAACCCGTCCAGAAGACCTATACTATTTTTTTTTCTTTTTGATTTTTTACCTGGATTACTGAGATGCATCAGGACATCTGTTGTCTTTAGTGCTTTGACCAGAGTGATGAGCTGACGGCCGGTCAGAGCAAGATCAAAGGTCACTTTAAATGTTCTAAATTTAAAAAAATTGCTAAGCCATTGGCTTATCGTACCACAGCAAACACACACCTGTGTCTATCACTCCCTGACTGCCAATTTATGATCTTCTGTTACTTCTAGCTAGCCTTTCAATACTCAATACATTTTGCCAGTGGTGGGCACAGTTCCCCTAAAGCACTAATAGGGGAACAAATTTTCTTATTAGTGCTTTAGGGCTTTTGCTATTTTTTTTAATTCATTAGTGGATTAGCACTTATTAAATTTACGGGCGAGCACTAACTTGAGGTCTTTAAAGGTTATTGATCAACATTATTGTTCACAGTTGAGGGTGAAAGCTGTCACATTTTCTTCATATGTCACTTATCTACAAGGTCACGTGTCAAACTCAAGGCCCGCGGGCCAAATGTGGCCTGCAGGTGACTTCAATTTGGCCCGGAAAGAGCACTAAGTGACAACATTCGGTTCACAGTAAATATTGTCTCATGCTGACTCTGAAGAATGTTTCGTGGATTACTGGATTATTAGTGCTTTAGAATTAGGGGACCTAAATTTTGAAGTTAGTGCTTTAGGGTTAGTGCAACTAATATTTAGATTAGTGCTGTCCACCACTGCTTTTAGCATTTGGCTAGCTACTTTTAGCTTAAAAATCTTAAATTTTCTTAGTTACTAGACACTTTATTATTAACGAAGAAAATTTGCGATTTATCATATACAGTAGGCACAATGAACTTCATTGGATTACTTTTAGCTTATTTTTTGTTCCTTTCTCATTAGTCTTCAAATACATTAAGCTAGCCTTTTGTGAACACTAGCTTCTAGCCATTTGTTACTGTTAGCTTTCATCTAACTTTTGCTTTTTTTGTCTCCTTTCACCCAAAAATACCTACGTTTTGATGTATAATTTGTACAAACGCCAAAAAAGTGTTGAAAATACACTAAAAAAACTGATGTGGTTGATTTAACTTAAAAGTATGTCAACTGCTTCCGCTGAATTGAGTAAAGGTAACACATTTAAATAAACGTAAAGTAAATGCATTACCTTTTCTCAATTTAGCTAAGTCAGTTTTTTAAATTAAATCCAATCCTTATAGTTTTTTGAGTGTAAGATGAGAACAAAGTGTGTGATGTCATTGATCAGTTGACTATTCTGCAAAAATGTAGCAAAAATTGTAAAACTTTGATTTTTTTAAAAATGTAAAAGATTTCATAATGTAGGAATCCACTGCTGCCTCGGCACGCTCTGACTAGCCATTAGCTCATCCCCAGTCACAAATCGTTTTAACAAATTGAGGTTCAAAAGATTGACTTAGAGAGTGCACAGATTTACTAAGAAAGAGAAACACTCTTAAATAAATACCTTTTTTATTCTGTTATTGGCATTTTACAGGTACAAAGCATACAGCATGTTATAGTTATCAAAAGTGGAAAATACTGATGTTACGTGTGTAACAAATGTAAAAAATAGTTCGTCGATCTCACCTTCACCGAAAGTAAGAACACATATTTCAGCGTATGAAAATATCCATAAAAACACCGCGCTTACGTACTTTTAAGTTAATAAACAGTACAAAAACGTAAAAACCATACATGTCAATATAACAAACACGCTGACCAAAAAAATGTACACAAAAACAAAGAAACAATGTAGTTTTAGTCGGGGTCATGTTTACAGGATTATCTTCATGTTAACGATTGGCTGGTGAGAGAATGTTAACAAAAACTACCCCCCAAATCCCCCAAATGACAACAAATCTTTTCTCCTAGTTTCGGGAAGAAGAGGAGTAAAAGTGGTCTCGTGTTTCCTCGAATGTCTGTAAGGCAGCAGACCTGATCCCGTCTYTTCAGCCAGTCTTTGAGGACGGAGGCGGACAGGAAAGGATCGCATTATTCGGTTGGACCTCGACCAATGAAAAGACGAGATACCCAACAAGGTTGAGTCAGGATGCTGTCAAGTTTGGTGAAATGATACGAGAACCAAAAGACCTTCAGTCTGAGGAGATTCACCAAAGAAGACGAGTCCAATCACTCAACCTTGTTCGATTTTTCTACCTGGATTATTGGGATTTTTCAGGACGAGCCCGGGTATCATCTGTCTTCACTTTAGACCCAATCGTGGATCCACTGAAAGATGATTCAAGTAAACCAATCCAAGGTGGCGAAGCTGAGGTCCGTCGAGCTACAGGTGCAATCGTTTCTGCCTTACTGCACTGAAAGTCGTCTTTTTTGTTGAGCACTCACAAAAGCATAAAGTCCAAAGTTTCAAAATATACAGTTTTCCTTTTTTTTAAACTGGAGAATGACATAAAATTCTACAACGTGGTAATAAATAGTCTCATACATATTGCTCCGCCTCTCCTTCATTCAGGATAGTCACCGAGCCGTCCCCGCTGTTCATCTCAATGTCATTTGCTGCCGAGTTCTCGGGTAGAGAGGCTAAGTCCTTGAACACGTCTACGTACTGTCCGAAGCCGGGGCCCCAGTTCAAAAGATTGTCCCAGTTGAAGCCCCCGGCTTGTTGGCCCAGTTTGTGGGGCAGGGTGTAGTGCTGCTCGACGGGAGGCATCGGGCCGGGCCCTCCTTCCGCCCGCCGACCCGAGTATCGCCTCTGCTTCAGCCTCCCGCCGTAGTCCTCGTCGTCGGCGTCGGACTCGTTGACTTGAGAGAGCTTGGGGACCCGGGAGCTGTAGGAGACCGGCTTGTCCCGGTCGTACTCCATCTCCGAGCAGGTGAAGGAGTCGTGCGAGTCGCTCTCCGAGGACGACTCCGGGGCRGGGATGCCGTCGGCCGGGTTGCGGACCCTCGACAGCGGCCTGCGGCAGTCCTCCTCCGAACTGGACCGGCCGTGGTCGGCRCTGCAGATGCTGGGGTTGCGTGGGCGTGGCGTGTTGAGCCGCTCCACCTCCTCGATGGACAGCCCCACCGGAGGCCCTGTCTCCAGGGGGATCTGCTCCACCGGCTGCTTCAGCCGGCTACCCGGCCGCGARCCGTGGCCGTGGCCGGCCATCGTCTGGGGGCTCTTGCTGCGCCGCCCCAGCCGGGTGGCGTAGTTGAACATGGGCGGCGGTTGGCACRTGTCATTGTGCATGTCCAGTGGGCTTCCTTCCCGGCGGGCCAGGTTGAGTTCCCTGGTGGGGGTGTTGCGGTAGAACGAGGAGGGTTTGGTGAACGGGGCCGGGGAATGTCTGGAGAGGGGGTTCGGGGTGGGGCAGACTGAGTGGGAGTGGCTGAGTGGGGTAGACCTCAGGGCCTGGGTGTACTGAGGCTGGTAGGTGTAGCTTGTGGCTCCCAGAGGTAGAGGAGACTGCCTGGCAAAGCCCAGCGGACTGTGTCTCTGGATGGAGAACTTCGGAGTGTGGCTGCGGAACTGCTTGTAGTGCTGGATGATGTCGGCGTCCGACGGGGCGATGCTGCTGGCGTTGTCGATGTCGTAATGTTCGATGTCTGCCTCGGGCCCGTTGCAGGGGGCGCAGGGAGCACTGGGTACGGTCTCGTTGTTGTGAGGAATGTCTGTTTCGTCGTAAATCAGGTAAGGGTTCTCTCGCTCGATGATGTCCGGCTTCGGGTTTCCTTCGGGTTGTTTGCGTACCGTCATGTCATCTCCGTAAGGCGGGATGTTGTCCGGGTCGTCGAAGGCTACGTTCTCGCTGCCCTTCTTCTTTTTCTTCTTCTTCTTCTTCTCCTTGGGTTTCTTCTCCTTGGGTTCCTTTGGCACTTTGGTCTTGTTGCGGTCCTTGCAGTGGTTGCACAGGATCAGGCCGAGCACCACCAGGGCTAGGACCGTGGCGCAGCTGCCCACGATGGCCGGCACGGCCCATATGGGTAGGACCATAGTATCCGCCGTGGGGCCGGGGCTGCAGACGAACCCGCCGTCGTTYGCCGTGTTGCAAACGGTACCCTGCGGACACTGCACCCCCAGGCAAGCCACCAGGGTCTCGCAGGTCTTCCCTGTGTGCAACTCTGAGCAAACGCAGGTGAAGCCGGAGTGGGGGTCCGGRACACAGCTGCCGTGGTTCTGGCAGGGACTGGAGGCGCAGTCGCCAGGCGGGACGCACTGATACGTATACCACTGGTTGACGCACATCAGGCCGTTCCGACACGGGCCGCTCTCGCACAGGTTCGGCCCCCTGCAGCCGATCTTTACAGAAGAACTGGTTTTGGTTAGGGTGACGCGGTCATGCTCCCCGGAGAAAGGCAGGCTCTCCCCGTTGTACTTCACGTACGCCAAGCAGCCGTCGAAACCTGCGGGAGAAACAGACGAGAGACCCGGTTAACCAGAAACAGACCAGAACACAACAGAGGCCTGAAGGTTTCCGCCTGGCTGCAGACTTTCCAAGTCCAGATCAGTCCTCGCAACCAGCAGGGACCGAGAGCAAGAAAAAAACCCCAGAATAAATAAAACCCTTTAAAACCTGCTTCACCGGCCAATTTAAGGGAAGATATTTAAAAATGTTTTCTCTGTCGTCAGAGTCCTCGTAGCTCAGAGACATCCATCTGGGTCGGATGAACGTCTCCGTGTCTAATTCAGCCGGCCGCTCCGAGCCGATGTAAACAGAATTTTATTGAATTTATCCCGACGCAGATTAAACCCACTTGTGTCTTCTCGTTCAGATAAAGGCTGGTTAACAGCCACAGGTCTGYGTGCTCGGAACATGTTTGTTTTGAAACGCTCCCTTTGCAAAAAAAAACCTCTCAACGACTCGTTCAAATGGTTCATTTTTACCTTATTAGTCCAGAGTATAAACTCTGCCCCCCTCCTCCTCCTCCTCCTCCTCCTCCTCCGCATTCCCTCCTGGAGAACCTCTGCTTCACCTTTTTACAAACTGAAGGACGTCTGAGCTTCAGACAGTTTAAAACAAATTAAACAAGTTGTTTTGCTTCTGACTGACGTTTAAAATGTCAGAAGTTTCAGGTTTGTGGTGGATTTAACAGCACTCATGGGCTTTAATATGCAAAAAGTAGTTATTTATTGTGCAAACATGAATAATTTTAGTGCAGTTTGAAACACTTTAGTCTCATAGGCAGCAGGATTATCTTAGCTGCAGGTTTAGATTTTATTTTATAAACCCAAGAACAGCTTTTTTACACTGAAATGATGTTTTGGATGGTTTTATCTCTACTATAAGGGGCACAATTTTTTAAAAGAAACTTAAAAAGTTAATAAAAAGCTGAACAAATCATTTGTTGTGTCATGTTTATCAGTGGTCAGCTGATTAACCTTTTGGAATCAGACCCAGTGGTGGGCACAGTCCCCTAAAGCAGAGGTTCTCAAATTGGGGTTCCAGGACCCCCATGGGTCCGCGAGAGGTATCTTGGGTGTCCTCAAAATATGTCACTAAATTGTTAATTTGGTTTTTGTTTTTAAAAAGGCATGAAGAACAATAATTAATAAAACAAATATAATAAACTTAATAAAAATATGTATTCTCATGGCATTTAGGGGTTGAAACATGACAACATGTGACTCATGTTGTCTGTTGAAGAATGTTCATAGGTTGTGTTATTTTAGGGCCTTAGAATAAACTTTTGCTAAATTTTAGTGCTTTAGAATTAGTGGACYTAAATATTTGAGTTAGTGTTTTAGGGCTAGTGGAACTAATTTTAAGATTAGTGCTGCCCACCACTGCTCAGGCCAATTCAAGATGGCCGCCATGATCTTCACTAACACAAACAGCTCAGTTAATTTGACACTGAGCTGAAATTTGTTGTAAAATGGTCCAAAAATCAGCAGCTGCTGTCGGAACTTTAGGTTTTAGGMCATTTTATGTTTAAATGACTTTTGGCTGCACTTTAACGACATTACAGAATCGTGTTTGGAGAATTTAATTTTAATGTTTATTATATTTTCTTATTCTTTGAGGACAGAAGTGATTTTTTGTGTTTTAGAGATGACTGGGAACAACAGTAAACATCTCACAGCTCCAGTGCRGCTCCGCTGAGGACTCGGAGAACTCACCGGCTCCAGTTTTCTGCTGAGCGGGTCCGGGTGGGATCCCCCCCAGCGATAAGGTCAGAACGCCGAGGCCTCCGAAGTCCTGCGTGGCGTGTTGGACCACCCGGGACAGACTGTCGTCCACCTGGAGCAACGTGGAYGACCCGTTTTTGACCAGCTGAAGCGTGTGCCACTGGCCGTCGGACATGACGGCGTCTCCCAGCGTGCGCTCCACCTTCCCTCCGACGCCGGCGTCTGAGATGTAGTGGATGTTTCCGTTCCTCAGCTGGAAGAGAAAACCAGGAGAGGTTCAGTTACAAACTCAAACTGTTGACCTGACGTTGTTTCTTTAACCGTTATACAACCCTGGTGTAATTACTCTAAACTGATTTGWTGTTAAACTTTACTTTAAGATCGTAGATGAGAATTTTTATAAATATCTAAGCTATTTGTGTGTTTTTTGAGCTCGTTGAATTTGCACAATTATAACGGCATTTTCATAGAAACCTCAGCGTTCACCTGGTTGACCTGTGACCTAGATAGCTAGGCTTCACTATGCGCATTTAATAGATTTCTAACTACGAATTGGTCTATTCGCTAACTGAAAATATAGCTTTGCTAACACTAAACCACTAAACACGTAAAATAAATAAATAAATAAATAAATAAATAAATGATTTGTTGAAGGTAACGCTAAACAGCTAAATAAGTATAATGACTGTCACTCAGTCTGAGTTTCCTTCGAGCTAATTAGCTAACTGCTAATAGCGGAACAAATTTTTTCATTCGAAAACTGTTTGTAGACCAATTAGCTTTAGCTAAATTTTATTTGGAAACTTTTATATGTTTAGTTAGCAGATTATGAGTTTGCGAAGCTAACTTTTTGGCTAGCTGTGTCCACCAYTAATCAGCTAATAGTGGAACCAAAAGCCTTTTTCAATTATTGTATTAGCTTTTTAACAAACTTTGAACACTGTTGGTGGACCAATTAGCTTAGATATTGCCAGTTTAAGTCTGCTAGCAGCTAATTAACAAACTAACATTAACAAGTTTGTGTCAGTCCCACCAGTTTTCAGCTGGCAGGAGAAAATAAATGGTCGTCTGAGTGGTTAGCGATTAGCTGTTAGTGTTAACTTCTACTAACTGTTTAGCGTTAGCTTCCACTTAGCAGTTAAGTGTTAGCGAAACTATATTTTAGTTAGCTTTTATTAACATTTTGGTTAACTGTGCCCACCACTGCTGTTGATGTTAGCTTGTTAGTTAGCTGTTAGCAGACTTAAAGATGGMAAAACCTATTTTTGCTAAAGCTAATAAGTCTGCTAACGGTTTTCAAAGTCAGTGAAAAAGCTAATCCACTAAACATGTACAAAAAAATTGTGGAATAGTGTATGCTGAATAGTTAAACAGGTAAAAATAAGCAGAAGCTAACACTAAAAGCTAATCGCTTAGTGCTATGATGACTATCATTCAGTCCGTATGTTAGCCGTTAGTGACGTAAAATTAGCAAAATCTAATTTAGACAAAGCTAATTAGTCTGCTACTGCTACTATGACTATCATTCAGTCCGTATGTTAGCCGTTAGTGACGTAAAATTAGCAAAATCTAATTTAGACAAAGCTAATT